GGGGGGGGGGTATCTACTGTTTGAATTGGACAGTCGCCCCGCGGCTCATCCTCACCCTTTCTTTCCTCGCTCTGATGAGCGTGTGTCGAACGTCCGTTCGTTATTTTTAGGACGCGGGGCACACGCGGCGCGGCGTGCCAAAGGGAGGAAGTCGTATATTTCTAACCTTCCAGTATCTGCTCTATTATTAGTGAATGCTGGAGAGGTACACCGGCTTTAACTGGGTTTCCGTTTGATTTTAAACACCGCGTATTCAACGGAGAAGCACCTCCAGGCGCTCTATGCTCTCACCGCTATTCGCTTGGCTCTTCCTTCTTTTTCTGTCTCTTGCCGTTGTTTCTTTCCTACATCGTACGTTTTCAGAGAGCACGATGGTTTCATCCTCGTAAATACGACGACCGTATATCCGCAGATTTGTTCGTGGTCGCGCGTGCCTATATATATTGTTTCGACCGTACATTACCTCTCGAACGTTAGAGTTATATTCGCGGGATTACCGGGTGTTTCTATGAATATTGATGAATGTGTGTGTGTGGGGACATCGGAGACGTTAATTGTATCAGGAAGGTGAATGCAATTCCGATCTGAGAATCGAATGTCCCTTGAATGATTATAGGTTTGACTAGATTGTTACACTATCGTTGCACTATTATGTAAATTTCTCATAAGCTCCTCCAGTTACTCATTTTTTGATTATGTAAGAGAATCATCGTTACGCGATACGAAATTACGGCAACCGTGAAATTATCGAAAATGGGTATTTTAGTATTTCTCACAGTCGGGACGCACGTCACCGGCTCTTTTAGCTCTATAAAATCGAGACGTCCTAGGTCAGGGACGCGTAACCTACGCGTCCGGTTCAGACGTGTGCATTTTCACTGTCGTTGAAAGACATGCAGATTACGGCCGTCTGCAGACGGAAAATTGCTAGTGATATTTATATGCGGTTGGAGAATGTGACGTTAAATTTATATGATTTCGCGCATGGCAAAATGAGAGAATCGTGGATACGACCGTGAAGAGATTTCATAGAATTACACAAACTGGTGGCGTAACGATACGTCGCGAAAAGCACGGACGTAAACGCACGATATTCTTTTTTTCGATCTTTAAATGGAAGTTCAAGTACGTTGCGATAATCGTAATGCATTTAAAACCTGTTTCCACCAACGTAGATTAACTTTAATCTCGATTGCACTTACTCTTCATCTTTTTCTAGTTCTAGTAAGAATTAGAAAGAGATGAAAAGTGAGTTGAACGGAGATTAAAGTTAATCTGCATTGGAAATAATCATAAAAAAGGACAAGAAATTTTGATAAAAGGAAGAGTTTTTCAGTGTTGTATAATTAAACAGCATATCGCGACATTGAAACAAATGTCCTTGCAATTTCTACGATTTTCCTCGCACAGTTTCGTCGACTGGCGGCAAATTACGTATCGCGTACGTGAGACGTAGAGTTGACGCGGTTAGACAACTCACGGTGATGCGCGCGAAAGACCGGCGACAGAAGTGGTGATGACTGCGAATACGACGGGAGAAAAGAGCATATCATCAGGTATGCGGC